AGCAATAATTTTCAATCTGCTCATTCCAAGCTTGTTGAAATGAAGTCAATCTTTGCACAAGAGCAGTGTCCTCAAGATGTCTATTGTCTCTAAACTCTGGGTCTTTCAAATCCTTTCAGAGAAAAATCTAAAACAGCTGCAACTACTTGGATTTGTAAGAGTTCGCTGGATATTCACAACTGACTGGATGATCTACCCATTAAAATGACTACTCTAGTAAATCAACTGCATGTTGTATTTAGTTTGTTGTTGGCAAAGGTTAATCAAATGTAAACATTCTTAATTCAAGTAAATCAAATGAACTTTAAGAGTTGTCTAACCATGTGCTTTTGTATTAGGGATTCCATGGTCTCCATAGCAGGCACAGAAGCCATGTAGTTAGTTACCTAAGATTTCAATGATGAGTTCTTATCCACCAAGAATTCTGGTATTAAAGTTGACTTCTTATCTAAATTCTTTTTCTTTAGCATTTAGTATGGGCTCTGAAGGCAGGGAGTGGGAATTCCAAATGGATTAGGAAGTCACTGCCTTTCAGAGTCACTGATCTGATGAAGGAAAAACACACAGGCGCAGTTGGATGTGGTAGGAAAAGATGTCAGAAGACACATAAAGCAAGGTCTGAGGAGTGACACAGCTCAGCCTTTGGAGGGAACAGCAATGAGCTCTAGCTCTGACCTCACAGGTAAAGGAGGGGCCAGATAGTACCAAGCCTTCATGGCATTGTAACAAGTGTGAATTTATTCTGTAAATGGGCCATACTTGAGAAAGGCTAAGCAGGAGTGTGACAGAATCAGATTTGCCTTTCACATAACTTATTCTATTCTTTTCCTTCCAAGTACTAGGGTGAAGCATGTGAAGCTGCTCTTCTATGGGCTGAAAATGATCAAATATTGATGTTCTTATTGGGCACAAACTAATGCTTAGAATTACAAATTGCATTTTAAATAGTGAATGTATATTTATTAAATATCTATCTCTCTGGCTAGCCTACAGGCCTGAAGCCAGGCTACTTGAGTCTCTATCTCTGTTTGACCAGCTGCATGGCTGTGGATAAGTTACCTAAGTTCTGTTTCCTACTCAGTTTTGTAGTACATATATTGGTCAATGGGTTTCATTACTGTACTTTTGTTCATTTATGTAACATGCTTTGATCAATTTCATACAGTACCATCCTTCACCTTTCCCCATCCTCCTGCCCCAGTATCACATTTTCTTTTTCTGTGTCTCAGTGCTCAAAATATAGTTTGATTATATACATCCCTCTATTATTTAAGCCTCTGAACTTTCAGTTTCCTTCTATCTAAAAAGGAAAACTACTCTAAAGTCAGTATAAGTCTTAAAGCACTATCATTGATCTCTATCAAATATAGGAATGTTATTCCATATGCTTGCCAATTATTATGTTATGATTGCTGTCATCATCACCAATGCTCTTATCGCCATCATCACTGCAACTGTCCAAATAATTTCTATAGGTGAAGAGTAAGGAAAGAAATATCAATACAGCTAGAAAGCAACACTTCTCTATATTTTCTCAATTAGCCCAGACAGTCAAGTACACACAGGTGCAAAGCATACACATATATGCACATACATAAATCCATGTACATAGGTATGCATATAGATCTATGAACTGTGCCATCAGTAAGTTCATTTTACAGAAGAAAATGAGAATCAGAAAAAAGGAAATTGCTCAAAGCCACTTAGTTTATAATTGGCAGGAAATGAATTTGAGCCAGATCTTTATAACTTTTTAGACAGTTTGAGCACAGTTCTATGTCCAGGATATCTGACAAGCAATATATTCAAAAAATTATTTTCAAATATAGAAAAAATAAGCCAAGTTATCACTTGGAAATAACATGGACTCAGGGTAAAGGTTAGTACGTTTCACCCTGGTTTCCGCTGATAGTTGGGTATATCTACTTGAGCAAAATTTCATCTCTCTTGAGGCCTCAATTTCCTCTTTCAGAAAATGGGGTTTAAAGCAGATTATCCTTAATGTTCTTCTGGCTTGAAAAAGGAATGATTTCCTCGTGAAAGGCACTGTTTTGACAATAAGAATAAATACTTAGCATTCCAACTGTTCAGAGTAAATGCTGACAGCTTCTCTGTGAGTAATAAAATAGCTATGGCCCAGTCATCCTGCAGCTCTGGGCTTAGGATTACCTTAACCTTGTCTGGAGTCTGCCCTTCTTACCACTGGCATTTTTATTTCGTGGCACATATCACAGTTTGCAACTACAAAGTAGATTTGTATGGTCAGATGGTCAATTTCTTCTCTTTTCTTTCTTTTTAAAATGTATTTAGTACAGGGTCTACAGGATCTCACTATACAGATGAGACTCATTGTGAGTCTCCTGTTTTCAGTCTCCCAAGCACTGGGATTACAGGCATGCACCACCACACCCAGTCTCAGTTGTGGTCTCAGCACGCTCCAGGGGCGGGACTGGCATGGCACTAGAGATCGAACCCTAGTCCCTGCGCCTGTCTAAGCAGGGGCTTTAGTCCAGTGAGCTATCTGGCCCGCCCTTAGATGGTCAGTTTCAAGAAGGATGTGACTACAAGTTTGCGCTCACAGCTGAATCCCAGCTTAGGACCTTGCACAGGAATCAGCATGAAGAAGGTTCTCAGTAACATTTGTCGACTAAATGACTTCTGAAAGGGACTCACTGAGTCCAAATTTGCAGAACTAAGTGACTTAGAGCTACTACTTCTCTTTGTCTTTTGGGAAAAAAGTCTGATAATGAGTGTTTCAAGCCATAAGGACACGATTTATTTCTTATCTCTTAGCTTCTAGTAGGCCAGAGAAGCCAGTGATAAATTTTGCCTCCTGAAACTACATAAACACACAGTAAACATGTTGGAGTTCCATAGAATTTTTTCTTATTTCTTAGAAAAAATATTGAAGATGACAAGATAAACATTTATGTCAATACAACTATTCTGATTTAAGTTCTGTATGTCAGAAAGTATTAAACTGAGGGTTATCCCCTTAAGAGAAGGCATGGATAAGCTAATCCTCTCATGCATGGTGTTCTTGGCTAGAACCAACAGCCAAAGAGCTCCAGTCCCCTTTATTGACCCTTTAATAACAAGACCACTCAACCGCCTACATTTTATGGACTGCTATACCTCTCAGCTTGGAATGTCATAGTGGTGGCAGCCAAAGCTAGTTGGGTAAGAGGGCAGTGGGGTGATAAACTGCCATTTTCTCTGTTTCACTAGCACAACACTAAATGCAAGATTCTAGCGCCTTGGAACAATGGGGGCTGCAGCTAGGTGGCTGCGGCTACCCAGAAGCTGCACAGTGATGATGGTAGCTCGCTGGCAGGGAATGGCCTGGTCAAGACCACATGGAAGGCACACATGCTGACCGCAGCATGAAGCAATGAAAATGAGATTTTCTGCTTGTGTTTGGTGGGTTAGGATGGGAGGAGTGAGCGAGGGAGTGTTGGAGAGAGAGCCAAGCTGGGCTGTCAGTGTGAGTGTGGGAAGATTCAAGGGGAGGGAGAAACAAGAGGAGGCACTCTGCCAACTCAGAGACAGTTGGGTCGATCCCCTACCCACTTCTGCTCTGCTTAAATGAGAAATCCTGCTGCATGAGGGTGAGAACCCAGCCAAGAGAGGAGCAACTCTGCTGGGTGGACACAAATACAGGACCTGGCAGGGCTGTGTCTGCCAACTGGGACCAGAGCCAGAGGAGGGAGGAGGGATGAAAGGAAGTGAGAGCAGGGATGACAAAAATAGAGTAAAAGAATTACACAAGAAAAAATGTTCCACGAGGAGATGGAGGAAAGAAAAGAGAAAAGAAGACAGAATACATGCTGAGTAGAGTGGAGATGGCCAGAAGAGCAGGCTGATCTACCAAGGGCAGAGGCAAGCAATGATCATATGAAGCATGCAGTGAGCAGTGGCATGGCACCGAGGAAAGTGAATCTGGGGCCCCTGTGTTATCGTAGTGGGCATTAATTTTCATGGGAATAGTTTTCCAAAGCAGCAAACTACAAAAGGGTAAGCTCTTTTTTTTTTAAATTGCTTTTTAAGATAAAAACAGAATGAACAAAATTCTGTCTGCTACCACGTGCTACTTCTAAATATTAGATATTTTCTAAAGTATAACAGAACACAAGAATCCTAAGACTACCTCTCCAATAAAATGGAAAGGCCTTCTTGGAAGAAAATTGAGAGAAGGTAAAACAGCAAATGTTAGTGAATTCAACTCTGTTTGCAGTGATGGCTCTCTCTGGTGCCCTTTTCTGGAGGCTTCTGACAAACCAAAAAATGATAGAGGGAATGTTGCTATTTTGGAAGGGGAACAACAAACGAGGCTTATGTGGATGAGGAACTGGGATCCTACTAGCTTCAATCTCAGAGAGATGGAGGCATATTTTGGCTAAGGTAGATGGAGGACAGGTTTTGCCATTTAGATTAATTACAAATAAGAGACTCAAGGTAGTCTGATGAAATATTAGAGGCCACATAAGACCAGCCTCATTGTCTCAGAAAAAAACAGATTATTGAGGCCTATTAAATATTTACTCTATTATGTACTTGGTACAGAGTCTTGTTAAGCAGCCCAGACACATAGTGATTCTCCTGTCTCAGCCTCCCTGGTGCTGGGATTAAAGCTGAGTGCCACCACATCTGGTTTTGATGGCCAACACAGCCATATGACATGTGGTACTGGGGATCGAACCCAGGTCCTTAGGCCTGCCAGGCGGGCCCTTAGACTGCTGAGCTATCTCCGTAGCCCTATTGTGGCCTATTATTAAGTGATTCCAAAACACAAAAGAGAACATAGATGAGATCAATAGAGCAGCCTCCATCAGCCATAGCTGATGGCAAATGCGAGATCCATGACAGCTGAGACCACGGAGTTGCCCAGCTGACCCAGAACAATACTATGAGCACAGAGTATCTTAAGGCATTCTGTTTGGGGACCACTTGTTGCACAGCAGCAGGTAGCCTGAGCAGTTACACACCAACTGGAGACTCACCTGTGCATTCGTACTGAAGACCTTTGCCATAATAGCCCTTTTCACAGATGCACTCGAACTGACCCGTGTGTGTCCCGCATTTACAGCTTGCCATTCTGTCACAGCAGTCTTTGCCAGCTTCACAAAGATATGAGCAGTGAGACATATCCTCTTGAACAAAACTCCCAGAAGGTAGATCTATTGAGAATGCATGACAGAGGGTAATTAATAAAATGATTAACAGTTGAGGGTTATATTCTTTCATCTTTAAAAAGTAAGCGCAAGCTGAAGACAGTATCTTTTCCCATCTGTCCATTTCCCTCTGCTCCCTGCTCCCACCCAAATAGGAATGTGTGTTGTTTGCAGTGCCTTACTCTGGGAATTCGTTTCAGCCAGTAAAGTTATTTCAGTGTGCGAGCTCATCAGAAGCTCCCGAGGTCATGCAGGGTCGGGCAGGAATTAAGTACTTTTGGGAGGAACTGCCAGATGCAGCAGGAAGTAACACAGTCGGTTCTTCAGGTCATTCCCCTGCTTCCAAACTAACAGTGTTCTGCTGACTCCCTATGAGGTCAGGCAGCAGGAACCACATTTCCAAAATCCTTGTTCAAGTCAGAAATAAAGCAACAAGCCCAACCTCTCCTTAGGGGTGTTGACTGTGTGCTACTGATTTTAGAGTAAGTACAATCACTTCTGTATTCATCTGATGAAAGCTGCAAATAACAGCAATATGTAAGTTACGTAATAAAACAGGTTCTGATTTATCTCTTCTTTTTAAGTATATTAACACAAGGTACAGAAATAGAGACCATTCTGATTATTTGAGCCACTGTAGGTGCTAAGTCCAGATGTAGGGATGGGTCCATGGTAGGAACTCAAGTAGGTGTCAGCAAGACAAGGGCTGGAATCACATAGCTGTCAAGGAAATGGGTGTTGGCCTCTGTTATGGAACATCTGCCCCTCTGCATTAGGACTGAGTAACAGGGTTAAAAGGGAGGCTATAGAGAAAGAGTCTGGAGTGACCAGGCACCCTATTGAAACTACACCCAATAGATCATGGTGTGGGTCAAAGACCTGCAACTGGGTCCCTTAGGACTTAGCCCCAAGACAAAAAAAGCACAAGTATATTTGGCAATAAAACAATTTAGGGAGCAAGAAGACCTACATGTCAAGACTGGGACTCTAGCATTCAAGTCTGCATGAGAGCTAAGTGGATATATGCCATGTAGGGAAAGCTACCATTCTCTAACCTATGCCTATTAAGAATGACCAGAAATACAGTCTTGAGACCAAAAAGTGGATTCATGAAAAATGAAAGTAGCTTTGAAGAATACAGAAACAGGGAAATGAGGATCATTTCTTTGGCCCTGATCAAGTCTTTCCCATTCAGAGTTTCTTCTTACCAACTCTGGAAATTTAGTCTATATATTAGTCAAGTATAATAAATGGTGAACTTTTCCAAACTCTGTTGGAGGACAGTAGCCCAAACTCTTAAGTTTCCCTGACTCTACTTAACTCCAGTACCTTTTGCCGACATCCTCCTTTCGATGCTAATCGTTTGTTACATCATCCATAGCTATAGCCTGACAACCCACTGTTATCTCTTCTCTTGGAACTACCATAGAGTTAAACTGTACATCGTGAATTTTATGAATTACTGAGTGTGGTCAGACATGCCTCGGAACCTGAGGCAGGGAGATCATCATGAGTTTGAAGCCAGCCTCGGCTACATTGTAAGTTTGAGGCCAGCCAGATGTACGTATCAAGATGCTGTCTCAACAAAACAAAAGAAAACAAAACAACACAAAAAAACTATTTGCATCTTGTGCTGCCACAGTGTCCCCATGAAGTTGAAGCTTGAAAGAACCAAGCCTAATTTACCACAACCCTAGAACTTCTGTCGTCTCACTGTAGGCTGCACCTTCTTTCTCCTGGCTCGCCAAGACACATAACCATCTGATTTAAAGTGTAAAACTGAATATCCTAATGAATGCTGCATAAAGAATTCTAATGAATCCATTTGCTGATATTCTTTCATTTTGGGATTGATGCTGTCAGTCTTATACAAAAGTATATTTATCCTAAAATTGTTAGGGCAAGAAATGTGTGCTATTTATTATCCTGATATCTTTATGTGTATTTCTGGAAACATTCTGCTGAGATTCACCATGCATGCCTCTAAATATTTACTTTATCTGTCCAGATAACTGTAAATGAGGTCTAAGTTAAGTCTTTTCACTGTGTGTGGCCTCAGAACACACCTTAATTCATTCCATTGATTCTAGCAGTTCTAGATGGGAGCATATGGATATTCCAGTGAAAATCTATCACAGCTGTTAAAAAACAAAACAAATTCTCCTGTCTCGAGGTAACAGTGTTATCTCTTTGAAGTGCAGCATGTCTTATGATGCACAGAGCACACAGAGCCATTATGTTCAGCGAAAATTTGCAAGAGGTGTAATATCAATTCTTAGTGGCTTTCAGGCAAACGAGAGAAGAGAAAAGGTTCTTTTGCTATGTTATTAGATTCCATTACCTTCGTGCAATGCTCGGCGAGCTAAAGCTTCAAATTCTTCAAAACTGTGGAGCAGGTAGCAATGCTCCTCTTTGGGGGAGGAAGCCATGTCATTCAGTTCTCGAATATTTCCTTGCCATATTCCGAAAGTGAAGATCTCCACTCCCAAGTCTCGCAGTGATGCTGCAATAGGCCTGGGATCTCCTCCGTTGGAGTAGCCATCAGTAATGAGAAAGATGACTTTTGTTGAGTTTTCTCTAGCATGGCGAAGGATTTGCTGTGAAGAAACAGGACAAGTTAATCTGAGCTTCTGTTGCGTTGCCTGCTCTGTGCTTTCTTCCTATGTAAGGCAGTGCTTGGGAAGACTATGAGCACCTCACAGCAGCTGGAAGTGGAAACGTTGACTGGGGAAAATAAAACAGAAATAGATGCAGACTAAAATCTATGATAGGTGTCTTGAAGCAACATAATAATCCTCAGAGCATTTAAAATGTGTCATCTGCATCTTCAGAATTGTTGTCATTATGGTGGTTACTAATAAAGAAGCCAAGTATTTATACAATTAACTTTGAAATTAATATTATTTCCTATTTTAAGCTAATATTATTGACAGGCTCTTTTGAGAATAAAACATGAATTGTACGTATCTACTTTTGATTATATCCATGTATTTGTCTATCTATCTATCTATCTATCTATCTATCTATCTATCTATCTATCTATCTACCTACCTATCATCTATCTACTGATCTTGGTGAAAAAAACAACTTTTAGGCTTATGAGAAGAAAATTGAATAGAATGTGTCTTTTCCACAGCTAATAATGGCTGACTTGCTTCCTATATTTATTTTTCCACTGCTCTTTCAAAAACATGGAATTACTTCAATACTTCATGTCTTTTGGACCACCCAGTATTAGCGTAAAATCAGCTGGTTTTGGCTGCACTCTTCCTTTATGAGAAAACATTAAATCACTGAATCCAACAATTTATTATTTTAGGATAAGTGAACTCTGTTTTACAATGTCCTATACTATCATTTTCTTGTAAAGGGAAGACAATAATGGGACCTTTTAAATAGGAATTCTCTTTTCTGCCATTAATGCTTTGTGACATAAAACCATAAGGCCACAAGAACTCCAGTGGTGAATCTGACAGTGTAACTGCTATCTTTGCTTTACATTAGAATTGAGTAGGAAGGATAAAAAAATCGCTAGCGTATATGTTCTAGCAAGTTCTTAAAAGGAATTCATGTTTATTAGGCAATAATCCAAGAAACACAACAGGTAAGAAGAGCAACAATTCACTCTATGTTTTGTTGAAACTAAAATAAAGTAGTGATTTCAAAAGGGTTTGACGGGGCCATGGAGATAGCTCAGTAGAATAAGCACTTGCCTGGCAAACCCAAGGGCCTTTCCCAGGTCTGCTAAAAAACAAAACAAAACAAAACAAAACAAAACAACAACAACAAAAAACAATCAAAAGGGTTTGACTATGTTATTATTCACTTTGGGTGGGTAGGTTCCCTGTAAGATCCAGATTTCCTCTGATAAGATTTACATCTGTAGAAAGTAATCTCTAATTAATCTTTAATTAATGCATACTTAATGGACAGCAACCATAGCCCAATGATTCATAGTTAAATTTTGCTGATGCTTATTAACTAAAGTTAAAGCTGTTAAATTAGAATTTAAAGACAACTAAATGCCTCCCCAAATCATCTGGAAAGTCAATGGTTTGAAAAGAGGCATCAAACAATTCACTCTTTCTCCAAAACCAAGTGAATGCAAGGAAAAGAGTACAGAGGGCAACCCACTGAGTGAGGTCCAGAGGATGATTCTGTGACAGAATAATGAGACATCAACAGAAACATTTTCCAAATATACACACTGGTGTGGTGTCAACAGTATCAAAGGTCTTGGCTCTTAAAACAGAAAACTTTGCCCTCTTGATAAAGGACAAGAGACTTGCCATGAATGCTTTGAGAGTGAGGTCTACCCACCACCTCAATAAAACAGGAGACAAGGAGGGAGAGAGACCAAGGATGTTGGATGTTGCTGTGAATTCTGGAAGTTTCTACCAAACTCTTTATACCTTCGGGTCAGTCACATGAAGCAATGATTGGTAACATCCCTTTAAGGGTGGGATTCAGGGATCCTCTTTCCTTCTGGGCATCCAGGATAGTTAGTGTTTCATAGATGTGCTCTGGATCACAATGATGTGTACCAATAGAGTACAGCTATGTGCATAATGAAAAGATGACCTGATGAGTCTTCTGTATTTCTAAAGAGACATAGGAGGCAGATGGGAGAGAGAGGGGGTAATATTATGACTCTATAAGATTGCAAGTCAAGGGGATGGCAATGCACAGCAATGGAAGACACCATGGACCATGTGAGCCAAAAGCCAGACAGAGACAGGATCAGTAAAGGGAGACCCTGGGAGCCCCAGGAGATAGCAACATCCAACCAACCAACAGACTTACCAATGGCAAATTCTGAAATTGTGGCTGCTGAGACAATTGCACATCTCAGGAAGGAAAAGTAGGATGTGTCAGAATTGAGAGATGAACACCTCCCACCCACCTCCAGGCAGCTGTGCATAAACCCTGTGGCTTAGGCTCACTACAGGGAGGAAGAGAAGAGGAAAAGCTCTGGAATGTGATTCAGTTTTCAAAACTGAAGTAATCGAGAAACTATGTTTTCAGTTTCTATGGAGTCATCTAAATGGAGCTTTCTGTCATCAGGAGCACAGGCAATTCAAACTGTAAGTTATTCTTAGCATAAAAATGGAGAATTAAAAAATTCATAGCCAGCACATGGTAAAGTATTACATCTTCTACATGCATAGTTTCTGTTCCCAGGGGAGCCTTGTGGTGGCTCGGAAAGTGGTAGAGTCTATCTTTTGGACTCCTGCCATCCCCACATATTTAGAGGGAGAGGCAAGGCCAGGAATGGAAAAGAGGTCACTTTATCTAACCCCTTAACAACACAGCTCAAAGATATTCCGAGGTGATGGGCCCAGTGCTTCACGGGTAGGGACAGTCTCAGATAGAAATCGGCTCCCCTAAATGTGATGTCCTTGAAGCCAGATATATTTTATCTATTTTTCAATTCCTCTATTTTCAGCAGTGTTTGACAAATACATCACATTTAGTAAATATTTCTCAATAAAGAAAAGCCCATGAAGCAATGGTCCCAACTGCCCAGGCAAAAACCTTGGATTCATCCTTATCTCTGGTATCTTCCTGTACTTTACTTTGGAAAATTTCACCACCCAAGCCTGACATTCAGATGTACTTGACGCTAATCTGCTTAATTTTAAACACACTTTGAAAGATTTTTTTAATAAGATAAGATCCATGTGACATAAAGAATACCGATTTAATCACTCTAATGTGTTCAATTCAATGGGGTTTAATATACATACAGTGCTGTGCAGTCCCTGCCACTGTGCAATTTCAGAACTCCCATTATTCCAAAAAGAAGCTGTACCTCTCAATTCCCTTCTTCCTGCAGCCCCTAACAATCACATAGCCTTTCTATGTGTTGTCTGTATGTAATGTACTGATTAGAGATTATTACTGTTATTCAACCAGATAAACAATTTTCCCCAAATCACTGATGGATTTATCCATTCTTCTCTTGGTAATAGTATCTATTCTATCAGTCTACTTGTCTGTTACCGGCCAACACATATGTAATTGAGTTTAAAATCTACCTTTTCCAATTGTGTGTGAAAGGCAACTTATAAAATTCTTCATTAATTTTTTTTCTAATCATTTGACTCAGTAATCCTACTTCTAGAAAGTTATTACAAAATTACAGCAATATCAAGAGCATACATGTGAGTGCACACTCACACACATGCACACACACAGACACACACGCGGACACACACACGCACAGACTGACACACACCCATGAAGACCATGGTTCAGTCCCAGGAGCGTGAGCATCTCTAAACTTCTGTCTATGGTTTCAAAACACCATGGCCCACTAGAAAGTGTCAGAAATTCTTAAAGAAATGTTTGATTTCAAGTGAGGCCAGGAAACATAAAACATAGCTTGGGCATCCTCTCATGACAGAAAGCAAAGATATTCAAGACTATCAAAGCTGAACCAAAAAGAACCAGGAACCAGGTAGAAGCCTAGTGGCCAAACAAAGGGCAGTTTGAGTATCAATAAAAACAGTAACAATGTATCACGTATAATACAAACATGTTTATGCATAGATTTATGTGTAACTGGACTGGACTGAAATGCACACACACACACAGGCGCATACTTTCATTCAATACCACCTCTGTGGTAAAGGTCTGGTATCTGTTATGAATGACACAAATAAGACATTATTTTACTAGTCTTTAAGATTATACTTTTCCACATTCAAAGTGTGGTTCCAAGTTCTCTAGAATGTGGCAAGTTGTAGTGAAGCCATCTTTGCTCATGACTAAGTAATGTATTCTTTCTTTCTAGTTATTCCACTCAGAAAGATAACCTCGCCTCCACTGACATAACCTTATGCTTTTGCTCATTTTGTGTGCTGTCCGTTCTATAAAGTCATGTCAGTTAGGTGTCGCAAGATAAAAATAAGACTGGAAGGAAAAACAGAGACAAAATTTTTATAAATAAAGAGGGAATGAGGCTTTGGAGGAAGGGAGGGGACTGGGAAGAAAAGAAGCAAGATATATCATGTACAAATGTCTTATTTGTGTCATTCATATTAGATACTGGGTCTTTGCCGCAGAGGTGGTATTGAATCAAAGTATGTGCCTCTGTGTGTTTGCAGCTCAGTCCAGTCCAGTTATACATAAATCTGTGCATAACTGTGTTTATATTAAAAATTCCCTGTAATTTTTAAATTAAAATTTAATTTTTTAAAAATCTGATCATTCTGTGTCCTTAAATTGTACTAATAAAATGAAAAAAAAAAGAATATTCATGGAAAGGAGAAGAGAAAAAAGTAAGTGTTCTTTTTCAGTGTGATCTTCTCAATAGTGTCTGGGATAGAATTGAATGAATTCATTCAACTCATAAAAATTGAATTAATGAATAGATAAACTTTAAAGTACCCTGGAAAAGATAACTGAGTCAGTTGATCTTGAGTTGGTAGTAGAATGTATGTGTTTTATATAGTTTTGCACCAAAACCAAAAAAGATAGTATGCCTTTATTGTTCTTCTAAAATAAATTTTTTTCTTTTTTGTATTTTTTTTTAGGGAAGGGTCTACAGGGTGTTCAAGGGTCTCACTACTAGATCGGACTCGTAGTGACCCGC